TATTTTCGCATCACAGCTTTTGTCTACTTATTAAATAATTTGCTGAAAAAAATACTGATCTATACATCTCAATTTTCACCGTGCAACGCAGGGTAACTCAGCTAGTATAAAATAAAGTTGGGAATAATCTGACTAGACCTAATATTCCGGTAGGAGGCCACATCAAATGGACTTCTGAATTACCTGAGTAGGCCTAAAATTTCTGTCATAGGCCTTTAGGTTGATTAACAATGAAATATTTATCTCACCTGAGTACCAGCCGCTACGGGCAGGGGCAGCAGTATCAAGGGCGCACCTACTGTGATTATTATCTTATTCCAGTCAATTAATACCTCGATTATTCGTTGTCTAACTTTCGAAGAAGTCATTATTATGGTTCTTGTGAAAATTTGAAATGGATGAGTAGCACTATTAAAAAATAAAGACGTCTTCGGTTTGGAGGAAGACTGAAGTCTTAGCAATGGCTATAACAACATGTCAAGTGCCGATAATTAAAACAATAGAATTCTGTCGTACGATATCTATTGTTTAAACATAGAGTGTATCCACAAGCTGTTCTCCAACAAAAAAAGACCGATAAATCAGGTACCACGTGATTTGTGAATTCGTCAATTATATGCTAGCTTAGTAAGGTTATGCGTTGTCTTGTATAAATAAAAACACATCTGTTGACGTAAGTCTTCAAGGATTAAAATACTGCAGAGCGATAGCTTTTGGTTTTATCAATATATAACACATGACTTCTCCGTAGCATTGTTTTACAACTCCAGAAGCAGAAATTTAATATCTCACTAACATCAACAGATATAATATCTATTGCATTGTACTGTGTATCATACTTTTTACATGTTGATTTAAACGCATCAAGAAAGAAATAAAAAAATATATAAAAAACTCATACACAAATATCTAAACTACATAAATACAGGAACAACAAAATACACCAGTTTTAATGTATAAGTGATAAATAAACTTGAATTCTTTGATTGTTAATTATCTAATATTTGTGACATTTCTTCATAGATGTCAACAGAGATTATACTGCACTAACGTTCAGCCTGATTCTGGTGTTACATCACTTTCTTTAACACTTTGGATTTACCCTTGTTCTTACGAAATGTCATAAAAAAAGATGTCAGCATTTTTTCCGTTAATTTGTACATGGTTATATTTTTATTATCTTTCTTACAAGAAAACCTTAATCCTTGTACTAGTAGTCTTCCTGAACTCAACCACAATAACATTTAAAAACTTTTACTATTTTAAAAAAAAGGAATGTCGAGAAAACATGTTCAAAATGTGCGAAAATGTTTAAAGATTTTATAGAGACTTTCGTCGAGTTTCTAAAACTTTCTTTAGCAATTTATATTGGAAAAATACAAGGTTTGACACGGAGATATAAATTTACAGAAACTATTTATTACTAGCTGGAGTACCCTTATATGTAATTGTAAAAAAACGCAAAAAGCCCATCAAAACTGCAAAACACAAAATTTGAAACCGCAAATTTGCATGTATCTCCGCATGGAACAAAAAAAACTTTCATGCCAAATTTGGTGAAGATCCATCAATAGGGAGCGAAGTGGTGGAAATAAACGCTCATAAAAAACGCAAAATGCAAAACTGAAAATTTGTATGTTCCTCCGTATGGACATCATGAACCTCCATACCAATTTTAGTGAAGCTCCATCCACACCCTGCGAAGTAGTTACACGGACATACAACAGACATTACTATTATATCTATATAGATCAACTTGTACGAGTGAACCAAACAAAAAAAGATTCAGATAATCTGCTTTTACATAAGGAAGATCATTATGTTACATTTTGATTTTACTTTTCTATAGGTGTAAGATATGAAAAATATCGTTTGTGTTTTATCGTTTGTTTCACGTCACTGTTACCACATCGTCACATGACAACAACAGAACAATCCATCGTACAGATGTACTTGCTGATAACCAGAGCACAGAAACTCTTAATTTTTATTTCTTTTCAATGAGTTGATAACGCTTATTTTTATTTGCTCTTCTAATCAATTATCTAATAGTAAAATATTCTTACATATGTGAATACTTGACAAACTGACATAAGATACTTTTAAGTTGTATGACCTTTCAAAGATTTTAAATTCCCTTTTACTCTAATCTTAGAACCAAAGAGTTTGAATCCCTTTTTACTCTAATCTTAGAACCAAATATTTTAAATTCCCTTTTACTCTAATCTTAGAACCAAAGAGTTTAATTCCCCTTTACTCTAATCTTAGAACCAAAGATTTTAAATTCCCTTTACTCTAATCTTAGAACCAAAGAGTTTAATTCCCCTTTTACTGTAATCTTAGAACCAAATAGTATAATTCCCCTTTACTCTAATCTTAGAACCAAAGATTTTGAATTCTCTTTTACTTTAATCTTAGAACCAAAGAGTTTAATTCCCCTCGTTGCGTTAATCTTAGAACCAAAAAGTTTAATTCCCTCGTTGCTTTAATCTTAAAACATCATAGCTATGTAAGATCTCTGTTAAACATTTAAAATATGACTTTCTAAACTGATTCGCTACTAAACAAACTACATCAGGCAATAATTCCCTCTCTAAGTTTTAGTAAAGTGAGTGATCCTTTAAGTTAACTTAGCCAAGTTAATCAATCTATCTCAGGTGATACATTCAGATGAGTTAATCAATCTATCTCAGGCGACACATCCAGGTTAGTTAATCAATCTATCTCAGGTGACACATCCAGATTAGTTAATCAATCTATCTCTGGTGACACATCCAGGTTGTTTAATCAATCTATCTCAGGTGACACATCCAGGTTAGTTAATCAATCTATCTCAGGTGACACATCCAGATTGGTTAATCAATCTATCTCAGGTGACACATCCAGATTGGTTAATCAATCTATCTCAGGTGACACATCCAGGTTAGTTAATCAATCTATCTCAGGTGACACATCCAGATTGGTTAATCAATCTGTCTCAGGTGACACATCCATATTAGTTAATCAATCTATCTCAGGTGACACATCCAGATTAGTTAATCAATCTATCTCAGGTGATACATTCAGATGAGTTAATCAATCTATCTCAGGTGACACATTCAGATTGGTTAATCAGTCTATCTCAGGTGACACATTCAGATTAGTTAATCAATATATCTCAGGTGATACATTCAGATGAGTTAATCAATCTGTTTCAGGTGACACATCCAGATTGGTTAATCAATCTGTCTCAGGTGACACATCCATATTAGTTAATCAATCTATCTCAGGTGACACATCCAGATTAGTTAATCAATATATCTCAGATGACACACCCAGGTTAATTAATCAATCTATCTCAGGTGACACATCCAGATTAGTTAATCAATCTATCTCAGGTGACACATCCAGGTTAGTTAATCAATATATCTCAGGTGACACATCCAGGTTAGTTAATCAATATATCTCAGATGACACATCCAGGTTAGTTAATCAATCCATCTCAGGTGACACATCCAGGTTAGTTAATCAATCTATCTCAGGTGACACATCCAGATTGGTTAATCAATCTACCTCAGGTGACACATCCAGATTAGTTAATCAATGTATCTCATGTGACACATCCAGGTTAGTTAATCAATATATCTCAGGTGACACATCCAGGTTAGTTAATCAATATATCTCAGGTGACACATCCAGGTTGGTTAATCAATATATCTCACATGACACATCCAGGTT